AAGGCTTAGTTTTTTACTAAAGCACTTGCTAACTTTGCTGTTCTGATGACACCTTCTATTTTACCATCCTTCTTAGTGCTAAAATTATTCATTGAGAATACCTCCCCGTTACAGCCCATGACCCTTTTCAGAGAGCAGAACCCTGCCCTGGGTACAAGGACTTCTCTAAATGACAAAATGGGAGTGTTAAACTCTTAAGAACAGCAGTCAAAATCCAGCTTGCTGTATAGGAGGTCACCTAGGGCAGGAACTGGGAGAGGAAATCATGACTGTCACGTGGAAGGGACAGATGCAAATATGTCTTGAGCTCTGACAATTTAACAAACTCTATCTCACAAAACACTTTTAGGATTATTGGGGCCTAAGCTTCTTCTAGCTGTCAAAGAATGTTTTCCACACTTATTTTTTCTTGGGCAGGAATATACATTCCTTGAATGTATATTTACCTTTTCCCCCTACTGTACCACCTGGGTTAGATGCTATGTAGGGAGGGAATTTTTCTTTTCCTGTTTTGACATTTTCATTTTTTATAAGATCTCTGGATTCAGGTCTCTTGTCTTCCAAAATGTTTCCCTATTGTTAGCCACAAATTACTATGAGAGGTGGTGCTTCCATCTCTTCAAGAATAAGTAAGGATTTGTTTGGACAGGGAAAGAAAAAAAAACCCTTTTGTGCCAGAGAAGCCAGACAACACTTGAGCTATAAAACTCCAAATAGGATAAGCATCAATTAAGTGGGTTTTAGGACTTAAATCCATTTAGGCCTGCCTACAAGAATTTGTCTAACTAAGAAGATAACTAGACAATGCTGCAAGCTTAGAACATGGAAAACACTGTGAGGTAGCCAACATTTAAATGGCACTTTAGAGATTTCATAAATTTTGTTATAAGTTTCTTTTTTCTTTTTCCTACTTTGATAATAGTAAAAGCATATAACATATCCCAGTTACAATGATCCTACCCCGAAACTGAAGAGAGATTATAACTATATTTCTGTACTGAGAGTTCCTCTTACATTTGCAAAAGGAAAAAAAGATATCATATTTAATGAATCTCAAAACATCATATTATTTTCTGTTTCTGGCAGTCGGGGAAAGGTCATGGGTTTAGAACTCTGAACAGTTTGTTCTAAATAATTCCCAATTTTATATAGACCTTCAATAACAATTTTAGACTCAGATGGGATGCAGTGCTTTCACATTCTTGATAATCTCTTGAAAAGTATGACAGGATTCAAATTCAAATTAAATTCGGAGCATTTCTGTTGGTTTCTGAAGAAAAGGACCATCATGTTGCTGAGCCAAATTGCTCTATGAAACACATCCTTAGGTCTTTTTTTTTTCCCTTCTAGTGAATGAAGGGGAAATAGTAACTTTGCTCTTAACTGTATTGAGAATTTACCAATACAGAGTTTTATGCTACTTTTTGAAGAATCATGTTGACCTAAGTGAAACAAGACCTTTTCATTTAAGCTAGTCTCTCTGATAGTGAATACTGCAGTCTGGTCTTTGGTAATGAATCTAAACAAAACCCTACCATTTGTTCCAACCAAAACTGCTGATATTTAATAATGAGCCATCAAAAAAATATAAGACATTCCTGAGTTCTTTGTAGTAAAAATTACTCATAATTATCTTGAAAAATTCCTGTACCTGATGTGTTTTTAGATCTATCAAAAATGTTACGATAAATAAGCAATTTTCATAGCTATTAGCACCATAATTAAATATCCATGTTAGCATTTCATTTCAGTAATGAAATTTCTTGGCAAAACCTTTCCATCAGGACCTGTTTTGGGAAATTCCATCATTTCTAAGGAAAACAAGATTTTAGATCACAAACCCCAGTTCTAATGGGAAACATTAGTCTACCTGACATCTGGATGGGCAGCATGGAAATAGGGATGGATGTGCCACAAAGGAAAATTTTCAAAGCTGTCCAGGAGTGTAGCAATGGTGTCAGGTGAGTCAAAGCTCACTTAAAGTTGAAGCATTAATAGTAAAAGGCTGAATGAAAACCAAGTATGGCACCGTTGCTAAATGGGGCCGGTGGCTCAGAGACAGCAGCCATGGACAAGGCCGAGATGGATCAATGCCTTCCTTGTCTCGGTCTTCACCAGGAGAGCCCCAGGCTTTTGTGGCTACAGGAAGGCACAAGAGGTATAGGCAGTGGATGAGGATCAAGTCAGGGACTCTGGTAAGAGAACTCAGTCCCTGTGGTCCTTGGGACCATATAGGCTGTGTCTGAGGGTGACAGGCAATGTCAGAACAAGATCACTCTCTATCATCTATGAAATGTCATGGCGATAAGGAGAGGACCCCAAAGAGTATAGGAAAGTAAATACTGTGCATATTTTTAAAGCTAAGTGCAAAAGGGTTATCCAAGAATACAAATTGCTGAGTCTCATTTTGGTCCCTAGGAAAATCATGAAGCAAGTCTTCTTGGAATCCATGGGCATGTAAAGGACAGGATGTAACTTGTAAAGTCTGCACAGGTTTACTGAAAAAATTAATGCTCAACAACCTGGTTTTCTTCTGTGAAGAGTAAGTAGATGAGGAGAGAGTTTTGGATGACCCTGGATTTTAGCTGGGTTTTAGCATTCCAGCTAGGATGCATTGCTTTGTACTGATGAATAATTAGGTGGTTAAAAGCTGATATAATGCCTGAGCCTGGAGGATAGTAGTTTAAATGGTCATACTCTCTCTTAAAGTCTGGTAACCAGGGGAGTACGGCAGGGCTTTGTCACAGGGCCTGTCCTGCCTAATGTTTTCCCTGGTGACCTGGTAGAGATGTAGAGCAGCCTCATTCAGTGTGCAGACAACACCAAACTAAGGGGACTGGTTGACCCTGAGCAAGGGTTTGGAGAGATGGCAGAGCCAAGCTCTTCAAAGTAGTACATGGTCAGGAGAGGAAGTGCAAAGATAAACTGAAACAAGACAAGCTCAGTCCTCATGGACACAGTGAAGTAGTGGACCAGACTGTCAAGAGAGGTAGTGAAACCTCTGTCCTTGGAAGCTGTCAAGATCTGACTGGATAAAATATGGTCTGATCAAATAGCTGACACTGCCATTATTATTAGGTTGTACTAGAAACCTCTAGGGGTCCTTCCCCATCTAAATTATTCTAGAATTATACCAGTAGAGTAGCAACACAGAACTGTATATTGTTTTTTCTCATAATTTATAAAGCAAAAAGGATGGTGGCATGAGTTTGTTTTAGCTATTTCTGCTGAAGAATTTTTGTGTGTGATGGTCTTTAGTTCTTATTTTCTTAATCTTTCCACAGTTTTATGCTCTGCTTTGTTTAGTTAGTGTAATTGATTCTGGTTACTGGCTTGGTTAATGAAAACCACCCTGCCAATAAGAAAGTTTAGAGGAAAAAAAAAAATCAAAATGTTATTAATCAAAAAACAGCCTCCCTCATTGATACTAGCAGGACCAAACACAATGCATCAAAGAGAACTGACCTACCAAGAAAGAGAAACAGGGATTTCAAGAACACAGATGTTTTCTTTCCCAGTAACAAAATATACAAAGCAAGTACAGGCCCCAAATAGGTAAGGAGAGGAAAGATGTTTTAGTAGCTTGGCTTTATCTTATATCGGCTGTCCTGAGTCAGGCTTCTTTGAAAGTGTTCATGGGCATAGTGGAAAAAAAAATAATTCGGTGCAAAGGGCTTCTTTTTTTTTTTTTCTTCTTTTTTTTTTTTTTCCTGAAGTGACTGTTTCAAAATTTCCAGTGAAAAGTATGTATGGTCTCTTATTTATTGTTTCTCATAAAGAATAAAAATAACTCCACTTCTGGTCATTATCATTTCTGAAAAAAAAAAAAAAAAAGCCCTCAGAAACATTTCAGGTCCAATCCTGAAGCTTTGAAGTCAGTGGGAACAGAATCATAGTCCTAAAACATAATGTTTCAGTTAGATGTTGTCTCACAGTTGCTCACATTTTTGTTATTTTCTATCAGTAAGATTAGCATTTCCTATGAAAAGAGACTTCCATGGCTTCTGGAGGCCCTTGGAAACCAGAGGAAGGGACTTCTATCCCTATATCTCTCTGGAGATTAGCTCCTCTGAAATCTGTATGAAAGTGTAATTTCTGGAGCTGGTAAATAGGTCTGATAGGAGCTGATTGCTGTAGGCACTAAGCCCATGTCCATACTATAAATTAAATGTGCTCACAGCTGTGCTCTAGCACTGCAGCTCTCCAGTGTGGAAAGGTCTGCATCCCCTGCATGGAATCCTTGTGCCCCAGCACCGAGATCCACACCCAAACTGCTCATAGCAGCCTCTGCCCCAGCTCACTCCCAGACTGGTTTGAACAGCAGCAGCACTCCTAGTTTAAAAGCAACCAGGTACCATCCAAACTTGTTTGAGTGGCAACAAAGTGGCAGGGCACACTCTTTTCTACTGCTTAATTTATTAGTGTGCATAACTTCGGGGTGCCATTCATCTACCTTAATGTAGACATACGAAAGTTCAACATGAAACCTCTGCTAGTTACCCTGGCTTCCTGTTATACTCAGTGGAAGCAAATCCAGGCCACAATTCATCTGACCTGTCTTGTGTACTTAGCTCAAATAAGATGGATTGCAATCTGGGAATGCCCATTTTTTCTTTGGACTATAAAGTGAGTCTGAGGTCTTCAGGTCAGACTTGGACCTCTAATTATTAGAAACCTGAGATAAGGTGAGAGATACCAGCCTAATACATACTAATAAGTTCATCAGTGTATCTTTCAGGTTAAAATATACTTTTAAGGACCTTATAGGTTAAATTATAGATTTTTACTCAAGAAAACCTCATAGGGAAAATGTCCTGTCAGAAAACCTAAAAAAACCCTGCTCTCCACAGAACAGAGTGAATGCTCTGAATGTGTTGCCCCGAACAGTAATGTTCTCTCACATGTCTCCCAGAAGTATGATATAATTTATCAGCAGCCATGCTATCTTCATTCTTGTTCTAAACATGGAACAATACTCACTTCATTCATTTTTTTTCCTCAGGGATTGACTGTCTGGGAGGGTCTACCTGAAGCAGTAGGATTCCATTTCTCATCTGCATCTGGAGGTCTGGGGAGCTGCAGAAGAGGACGAGGTCAGGATTCCAGCAGCATAACTGAGACAGTTTGCCTTAAGCGTCATTAATAACCCCTCTTCCACTCTGACCTTCAGTCATAATAAATACCTGGGAACCATAGCTGTTGATTACATTTGCAGTTGATGCCAAGTTATATAATTTCTATTACCATTAATGTAAAGAAAATATTTGTGTCTGAAAATGTCACATTGCAGCCTATACACATTTTTTTGCAACCCTTAGTCCTTGTTACCTTCATTAGATATTTTTCTAATGATAATTAACTAAGAAAACATGACCTAAGTAAAGTTATCAAAGGAGAGCAATTATGGGAACATGTGCCATATTATTTCAATTAGGTAACTGCTCATGGTGGTTTCACTTGGTAACAGCACAAAACTACTGTTCAGCCCACTATTCCCACTGTTACATTGATAAATTATCCCAAAGCTGCCTTTCATTCAACAGGTCTGTTTTTGGACAAGGGCCAGACAAAACAAAATCAAAAGATTTATAAGTACTGCACTGGGAGGGTAAAGAGGATCTGAAGGGCATGAGCCCTGCTCTGTCTTCTCTGAATTCAAGCTTAAGAAAAATTCTCCTGGTGAGCCAAATCGTAAGGACTCCACTCATTCCTTAGCCAGACATCATTCAGGCAAGGTCTTGAAGGCTATCACTATCTGCAGAAATACACAACTGAGTGGGAAACTGCGACTTGTGCTGTACTTATGGGAGGACAAGAGAACCCAAGTGGTACAGATATCCCTACAAGAGATTTCCTATCCGTGAATGGGTTTGTGAAACAAAGAGTGGAGAGCAAGTACTGCCTTGGGTCTAGGACTCACTTCAGCCCTGGATCACTGTGAAACTGAGGAAACCAGCCCTTTGCACCTTCCTCAGTGTTAGACAATGAACACTGAAAAAGTTTGTGCTTCCCCAAGTTTCCCTTCCTTCCTACTTCGTCTCTAGGCAGTGTCACAAATGATATCAAACTCAGTCTGGAGAAAGATTTTTTTGACCATGAATTTCTATGGAATCTGTTGATTGAAATGAAATTGGAAGACTTCATCCTCTGAAACCAGGAGGAAGGCCATCCATCACCAAATACCAGAATCTCAGACAAAAGATGTCTTCAGTAGCGGAGTACGATAAAAAAAAAGTATCTTCCTTGGGAGAATATGGCCTCAAAGAAATAATAGCAAAGACAAAAGAAAGGATAGGAAGTTAGCACTACGGCAAGAGGTTAACAGACATGATCTTACAATTAAAGATATTTACCAGAGAAATTTGAACCCCATTATACTCTGGCTCATAGTACATAAGGAAGAACTGGTTTACATCATCAAAGACAAAAACCAGGTCTATAGGTAAGCTTTAAGAATAATAAACATCCTGAATTCAAGAATAAGTCTGTCAAATGAAGGGATATTGATTTTGGAACAAGGAATATTATGTCAAACAACATTAGTTTAATTGATCTGAATTTAGTTTAAGTACTAAAAGCATTTATATACAAACAGCAAATGAAAATTAACTGCAGCTGAGTCCCTTGATTCTCAGATTATACAATATGCACAAGCAACTGAAAGTTCTTGTAGGAATCCCAGCAGCATGGTCTGGGTTCTATTCCCATAGTATGACTCAATAGAAAAGCAATATGCTTTCTTTCAGAAAATATGAATATTTAAAGCCATGTTTTGACTTTTAAAAATACACAAAACTTTTCCTTTCCCAAAAAGAATTTATAACAAATTGCAGAAAAGACACTATAGTTATGATCATTGCTAGCATGACTTAGCTCAAATATTTCCACTTCTGGAATGAACCATCCAGGGGAGAAAAAAAAAAATCCATTCCTTCGGAAACAAACAGATTTGCATGATTTTATTTTCCTTTCTACTCTAACTTAGCTGTTTACCTAGCTACCTTAGATATCTCCAAGCCTGTATTTGTTGGAACCAATGCATAGAATCTTGATATATTGACTATTACAACATGTTGCTATTACCCATCAGGGAAAATGCAAAGTTATTTCTATAATTTAATTCATTTTAAGACCTGATTTTTTCAAAGTAGGAAGATTTTTTCCTACAACTTTGTTATGCACCTTTTTTTTTTTTTAATTATTTGGATTTTGTAAAGTAATGAGACTTAAAAGAAATGATAACAATATAGGTTTCACAGAGATAAAGAATTTCACTTGCCGCTTCTCACTTGCAAGTACCTAATTTACTTGTTAGTATAGAACAAATGCTCTAAAATTTTTTGATCCTATGTTTGTGAACACTTTGAGAAGCTTCAACCAATGAAAGTTCAAAAACCATGAAACTTTAAAAATTTTATCTCTATTTACAGTTTTAATTATATTAATAGTAAAATAGTATAGTACTAAGAATGTAATAAAATTATCCAAGACTTGCCATATGAACTCTATATCTGATTTAGGCACAGATGACTCATTTAAAATATCTTAAAGTCCTGTCTGCAAAGAATGACATTTTAGGGGGTAAATAACTAAAACTCTTACCTGGATTATTAACTAAGTGATGAAACACCAAGCTTTTAGATCAGAATCAGACCTTTCAGGTGTTCTTAAAAATGTCTTTATACATCTTTATCTCATATAATTCACATAATTTTTAAAATTTTCTTCCCTCTTCTTTGATGTCAATGTCAATGTCATAGAAGTGTAGGCACAGAAATCTTATCCAGAGTTGCAGTAATAATTTGTAAAAATATTTTTTACTCATAACACTCATTATCCACATATCAGAGTGAAATGTTAGGCAAACATAAAAAGAGGAGGTTTCATTTTTTACACTGTAGTGCCAAGTCTGCTTCCAAGTCTTGTGGTTCAGATTGTGTCAAAATCCCATCTGTACATCTGCTGAAGAATTCACTGGGGAAATATCTGGGCATTCCACTTCCCAGCCTCTTTCAGGGTTTGTCTTAGTAAGTCAGGAGTTTTCAGCCTCTTCTGAAAGTCTGTTGAGCACCTCAGGAAAATACCAGTTACTCTTCCTGTTGATTGTTTGAACCCCTAAGGAGGGCTTGACTAGTTTCTCTCATTATTTACAGGTGTTCTAATTCTCACTTAAAATGTGTCTTCCTACAAGCCTGGTGCCTTAGCTATGACTGACTGGAATCCCATGTATTTATCTAGGAAGTCTGACCTCTCATATGGAGTAAAACAGGCAGGATCCAGAGGCACAAAGAAACCTGGAAAAGTAAGGCCACATCACTGAAAAATGTGCAAAAGGAATTTGTTGAATGATGGTGCTCATTGCTTTTGAGAAAGAAGAAAGAAACTTGTCAACTCTAATTTTTCCCATATAGAAGCTGTGGGATCTTTTACATGGGATTTTTTTGTTAGTTTCAGAAGATAAGCTGAAAAAACAATGGGCTAAAGCATCACAGGGGCACATGCAAGACCTAGTCCTGTGCTGTGCCTGTGATGAGCTTGGCCAGGTTCTAAGGTATATCAGAAGTCCAGCTAAAGTAACTCGGTGCACCAGCTTCTGAGGAATTCTTTCACTTAATTCAATGGAACACCTTAATCCCATGGAACACAGTTTACAAGTGTTGTGTGTGGAATCTTTGCTGATTGGTAAGAAACCATCATTATGTGAAAAGACCTCTGCAAAGAGACCAGTAGGTATAAGTAAGGCAGGATCTCTGCCTTTTTTCCCTTTTATACTCTATCAGGACTATGTTGAAGTCTTTCTTGCTGTTAACTTGTGCCACCTCTGCCACTGGTTTAAAAGGAGATGATTTCCTGCTTTCTTCTGTCAACAACTACTCCCTCCAACACTGCATTATATTTTTGTCCAAACCAATATATGTGTGTCATTCAGAAAATTTCTGTAGAACAAACTACCCACTGAAGACATTTCTTATTTTAATGATTAATATTGCCATGAAGCAGCATTTAGACAAACACCATCTTGTGAATACTGATTGTCTGAAAATTGTTCTACAATAAAATTTTGCTAAAACATGGGATATTTCTTACAGTACTGTTTCCTCTCTTTGTTAGACCTATATCTCTTTCCTTACTTTTTTGATTTACATGTCAATTTTGTGTTAATGCAGAGACTATTAATTGTCATAAAGATACAGGAAATAACACATTACAAACAGAACTGTGCTGAAACAGTAGCAATTTCTCTACTATATCACTAAATTCATGATGCAGAAAGATGTCTAGATGACCTGGAAATGTTAATTGCCAGGTTGAAATTTTTCCCATGGGTCACTACAGACTGAACAATAAGAGCTCAGGTGGACTCTGAGATTGACTCTAGTGATAATCAAATGCTGGTAGAACCCAGATTAAGATGCAAGAACTACATTGTCTTGGTTGAAACTGTAAATCTCAAAGGGTATTTTGTCAGTCTATATACCTGTCCTGGGGTGACCATACTCAAAAAACAAAAAAAAAGTGCCCAGCACATTTTGAGAATCTAACCATTCACACCAGTCGTAGCATAACCACACCGTTTTTAAATGATAAGGTAATTTTACATAATGGATTCTCAAGGCTGTGCAGGCTGGCTTCAAATCCAGAAACCAAATCCTAGCACTACTGAGTTACTAGTACAGGCATAAATAGCAAAGATGTAACTACAGCCCAGTGAATTTGTGTTAGAGTTAATGCAGCTTCAGGGAGCTGCAAAGCTAGGCTGTGCAGGTCTTGGTACAAATTCAATGAGTCTGGCTTTCTCCCTGTCACCACATCGTTGCTGTACGTGTAATGCAGGCAGAATTCTAAACCTCCAGGTTAATGTTAACACAACAAAAATTAAGTTCTAGCTGATGCATTTTTTAAATAAACCTGTCAAAAGCCAGGTTAGTAACTAAGTATGAATGACTGTATAGGATGCATGCTCTTAGCTGTCATTCTGATAATGAAGGCTTGGACTGGACATTTGATCTCCTTGCGCAAAGCATTCTTTTTTATAGGATCTCCTACAAACAATAGGGGTGGCAGGGAAATCACTTGGCAAGAGAAATACCTT